TGTGGTTTGACCCCGGTCTTGCCGGGTTATTTATTACTTCGACACTCCTGCACTTGGGAGAAGACATCAATCTTTTAGTCGTGTCACCTATGATTTGAAAAGAATAAATCTCATATGCAACAATATTTTTTTGGTTAGAGATCATATTTAAGAACACTGATTTTTGTTAGTCCAAACTTATAAAGGATTTTATTTAGGGATGGGGTCGAGTCAAGTTTTTTTCAATAATAACATAATGAAAAAAAAATTTTGAATCCAAACTAACACGATTAAAATAGTAGTATAAGTGTTATCCACGCAACTTGAGCTGTGCAGATACTACATAAGTGTTCCACATCAAAAATTCTTTTGTTAAGATTTGACTATTTCTTTTTCATTCTTCTCTACTTCAAATACATTTGGCCCTCAATTTTTATTTTTTTAACCTTAATTTTTATTATTTTTATTACTATCGTATTATCCATTGTTTTTTTAAAAAAAAACTTATTTTTATTTAAGAAGGGGAAAATAAATATTTTTTTATTTTTTAGTAGATTATTCCATTATTTTTAAGAAAAAAATGTTTACTTCCATAATAGTGGAACTAAAGTTAACTAAATAATAAAATTGAGGGATCAAATGAAGTAGGTAAAGAAAAAGAAAAGGAAATGGGTTGGCACAATAAACCAAGAAAAAAAAAAGGAAAAATGAGAAAAAGAATAAGATATTAAAGTTTTGATAACAACACCTTTAATATTATTGAAAATATCTTAATAAGATGAATTTATATATATCAAAGAAAGATAATAAGACTTTTATTGCATTGGTCTAATAGTTTTTTTGGGCAAAAAATAAATATACAAGCTTTTCAAATGTGTTTTTTTTATGCTAGTTATAAATTAAAAAAAACTCTATGATGTTTTTAATTAAATATATTGAAAATCATCTATTTTAATAAATACCAAAAACAAAATGTGAACACATTTATTCAACTTACCTTACTACGGGCCGAATAATTATTTTTTTAACATAAAATAATTAACTTGTAGATGTTATTAGTATGTCTTTTGACATTGAATAAAAAATAAAACCATAAATTTAAAAGTTGATGCTTACTTATAATAAAATATAATAAAGATTTTATGTGTTAATAAAAAAAATATAAGATCTCAATCTAATTTTTTTTAAAAAAAATTATAAATTATAAAATTATAAAACAAATTATAAAATAATAAAGATAAGAACAAAAAGAAATGTATAAATAAACCAAGTGTAAAGTGATAAATATTCCAAAAAAAAGAAAAAATAATATTTTTTTCAAAAACAAAGTGTAAAAAAAACTAAAAAAATATTACAAAATAATAAAGATAAAAAAATGGTGAAAAATAGGTCAAATGTAAAATAATTAAATACCAAGTATAAAGAGAAAAAAATATCAAGAGAACTTCTTTTCTAAAAAAATAAAAAATTATAATTTTACCTTCATTACACAAAATATTTTTAAAATAAATAATAAAATTTATAATTATACCTTTTCCATGTAAAATTACTATTTCATTTTATTATATGTATAATAATAATTTTTCCAAATTTACTAACTTGGAAAAAAAAAACCTCGAGGGTCCAAAGAGATAGCGGATCATATAAGCAATCTTCAGTGCCCTCCTTTCCCTTCCCATTTCCCAACGAACAAGAATAAATGAACTCCACACTGCCATGTGTAAAGATTTAACCTCCGAAAATATTTGTCTTTCCCTTTATCTCTCTCTGTCTGCACCACACAGACCGAATTATGAGAGTGTCTTGAAATTATGGCAAGAACGACTAGTCAGAATCAGAATGAAAAGAACAAGGTAGGCGCCTTCTTTTTAGCTACTTTAATTCTGTGGTTCGTCTCAGTTTTGTTCGAGATATTCTTCAACAAGCGCACGGAGCTACTTTGGATTGTTGCTGGAGCTTGCCTTTTCCAGATTGCCAATTGGGTCATTCGATCTTTTGTATCCCGTGACCCTCTCTTTGTTAATACCTCCGTTTCTCTCCTCCACTCCACCATCATCTCCGTTTCAGGTTCTTAAAATTTCTCTTCTCAATTGGTGTTTCTGAAACTTCACAGGGAGTCATTTGTTTTCTCGATTTTCGTGTATTGTAATGGTTTGTTGGGTTTCCTAATATAGAAATGTTCGCACTATTATTATTACAATCAGGCTGGGCATCAGCATGGTCACGGTTGCTTTTGTTGTTAACAGGGGCATCAAGTTTTAGGGAACCTTTTGCTAACAATTGTCCTAAGGAGAAACCTTGATTTTTCTTTTTTGGACAGATTGAGAATGGCCATTGATTTATTTGCTTAAGCAAAAGTGCGGCCGACATGGCCTATTATTCCGTTAGAAACATAGGAAGTGTGGTATTCAGAGGGAAAAAAGAAACTGGGAGTATAGATAGTATCATCTTCGGGGTGTGTTTGAAAGGCTGTTCAGTGGGGTGATTCTTTTGATGAAAAGCTTATGACTTACTGACTGATACAAAGATATTTAAAACAGGAGAAAGGTATATCTGGATTTTACAAATCGATGAAGCTTCAGATGCTTAACTAATTTGATGCTTGTAAACTTTATGTTGCAGTAGCATACTTGCATTCCTTCCATGTGATGTGCTTCCTTCCTTCTTACTTGTCATTATTAATTCCGATCCTTGTCTGCTTGCTGTGTAGTGGTTTCCATTTTGGTAAATCAGTGCTTAAAAAATGGTTCCGATGGGATGTTTGAGCATTCACAACTCGTTGGAGGTACATGGGAGTGGGCGTACGCTGCTTTGTGCTTCTCATGTGGTTATTTTGCATATGATCAGTTGGATATGCTGTTTTACCGATTATACAGTGGTTTGATCCCCTCCATCCTGGTTCACCACATGATACTTCTCGTTTGCTTTACTCTAGCTCTGTATCGAAATGTCACAATCAACTACCTTATTCTCACTCTGGTTTGTGAGGTATGTTGCTTTATGATTCTGAGAACTCGTATTTGTTTAAATGTAACTGTTTACCCTTTAAGCCTTCAAGCAAGCTCAATGCGGGGTGTTGTTATATAGTGTTGACAGTGAAATTCTCTTATGACACAGCTGCATTCAATCTTTCTTCATGTGAGGAAAGTGCGGCGGATGGCTGGCATCCGCAATGCTAAGAGCACAATTGTGAGGATAGAATGGGTTCTTAATTGGCTCACTTTCATTTTTGCAAGATCCCTGACTCACATCCTCATCACCATCAAGCTGGTTGCTGATGCTCCCAAGTTTGAAAAGGGTGTGGAGTTGCCACTTGCTCTGTTTGGGATGGCCGGAATGAATTTAATCAATGTTGGCCTCGGCATTGATCTGTTTAATGCCTTCAAAAGAGAGAAATCCTCAGAAAACAGTAATCACCATGGTGAATGACTGGCAGAATGGAGGGCAGAGGGAATGCCTGGGTTGTATCTGGTTTCTCCTTGAAATTTTCTCAATTTGTGTGAATTGACTGTGCATTGGATTGTTATTAGCTCACTGTAAAATTATGCACCGCCACCACAAGTGGAAGTGATTTGTTTTCCACCATTTGTCGAAACCACATGGTAATGTTGATACAGGTTGTCCTTTCAAAAGAAATCTCAAATGTAATGATGTATTCTTCCACTCTCTCTGTAACTACATATAAAATGTGGCCGACGCAGGAATTTGGGAAAAGAAAAGGTCCTACCGGGAGTCGAACCCAGGTCGCTGGATTCAAAGTCCAGAGTGCTAACCACTACACCATAGAACCCTGCATAGCCGGCTGTGGGTATACATTTTATCTCTTTTAGAGAGTATCAGTATTCTTTCCCACCCCCACCTCCCCGCTTCTTTACGAGCAGACACCCTCCTCACTTGCTGGAACAAAACCACTCCAGGTTTCTTTAGCCATTCATTTCTCCTCTCTAATTTTATTGCCAACCCAAAAATGACTTTAGGAAATGGAACCATCCTGCAATTGATGCCAGGGATTCAAATTACCATTCTTGAATCTTGAAGCTATATAACAAGAGCATTTTCGTTCTATTGTATGGATTCAAAATCCAAGCAATCCAAATTTAAAACTTCGCTTGGATGAAATATCCTGAGACTCTCATTCATGTATGTGAAATCCGCCTGTTTTGTTTTTGAAGTATTATGAATTTTTTTAATTAAAAATACATTAAAATAATATTTTTTTTATTTTTTAAAATTTAATTTTAATAGAGTACATCAAAACAATTTAAAAACTAAAAAAAAAAATTAAAACTAAAAAAATTTCAAAGAAATGATTGGATGCAATGCCAATTATAGCCTAAATAACATTTAATCAACATTAAACCAATTCCCCATTTTACAAGCAACTAATCATCAATGCAGCTTCTTCTTCTTTTTTTTCACTTCAACTACTAAACCCTTGCTCAAATTGTGCAAAACCATTTCGATTCTTCTCGGAACTGACGTGATTCAATGACACAGCAGATGAAGCTGAAGAAGATACAGATGGGGGTGAGTTCTCTTCCTTTCTATTCACTGAAGGACCGGAACTCACTGGCAATTCTCATAGAACTGGAATCTCTTTTAGGTGAAAACGTTTCATTGGAGTGTCACTTCCAAGGTTCTCCATTACCTTTGGAATTGCTGATCCTCCAGCAGAGAACTCCGGTATGCTTGCAGTGCCTATAAAGAAGTCCTCTAGAGTTGCTAGAGATTTCAGCTGCTTCCCTAGAGAAGCTATTGTTTTCTGGCATTCAGCATGTTTCTTGGCAGCGACATCTAGGTCCTGCTACAGGCAAGTCTTACGATCAGTGTTTTGGGGACAAAAAAAGAGTATATCTGCAATTTTGATAACTGCATAATAGAGGTTGATGAAAAAATAAACACGTAATGCAGGTGATATTGCTTGTTGACCTGCTTTATTTGTTGTTCAACACTTGAGCTTACAGTTTGCTGGAGTTCTTCTTCCTGTTTCTTTCTTGAGAGATTTTCCTCGAGTTCCTGATACTTGACTGCAATTTCCGTGGACAAAACCCTCTCCTTTTCAATCTCTCCTTCTAATGAGTTAACTTTTGCAAACATGGTCCGAGCCTCCACTTCCATGCTAACAAGTCGATATTCAATTTGCTGCTTTGATTCATTTGCCATTGATAGCTCTTCTTGCAACTCCACCAAATTCTGTTGGGCCTCCCTCAGCTGAAGTTGTGATGCTTCATTCTTGTCCTGACTTTCTGTTAGAGCCATCTCCAATTCATCCCTCTCTGCTTTAATCTCTTCTAACTTCTCTTCCAATACAAACGTTTCCCCTTCTATCTTCCTTAATTTCTCTTCCAATACAAACTTTTCTTCTTCCATCTTCTGTAACTTCTCTTCCAATTCAGCGCTTCGTTTTATAATGAATTCCCGCTCAGCTCTCAACGAGCTTTCAGCATCAATTGATTGTTTGGCAGAATCTTCTGCTCTAGAATTATCAATTCCAACTTCATTCTCAGGCAAAGCAGCAAGTCGTTCCATTTCAAGAAAATCATCCATGAGATCAATTTCGATGGGTGAGGCTGGGAGATTTCGATTAATAGATTTTTCATTCTTGAATTGATCAAGCTCTGAAATTAGTGCAGATGCCCATGAGTCTGAGCAAATTTGTTCAGACTTGTATGGCCCTGAGCAACTAACTTTGCGAGCATCCAGCACCACAACATTAAGTTTCTCCCCATTGTCTGATTGACTGTCAGTGAAAGACTCAACATAAACTGAGGATGCAGCAGAAGTCCTGCGATCATTAACAGAGGATGATTTACAAGCCATGGCTTTTAGCCTCCGGCACTCAGCTTCAAGTCTGGCCACCTTCTTTATGCTCTCCAGATATTGTTTGCTGGCTGTTTCAGCTGCTTGGGTACTCAAGTCCCTTTCAACTGTTCTAGCCTCCAACTCTTCTGACTGGGAAAGGAGATCGAGTTTCAGGGTAGCATTCTCTTGCTCCAAATATTCAAGCTTCTGGCAGAGTTCGTCAACAATCAGAGCATGAGATTCAGACTTGGCAGCAGCTTCTTTCGTCTTGAGTTCGATAAACTGGTTTTCAAATTCAGATTTAATGGATTCCCACTCGAGACTTTTCTGCACCACAGCTTCATGAAGCTTTTCTTCCTGCTCTTCTCTTGCTTGTCTCAGCTGCCTAACACAATCTTTAAGGGCCCCATCAAGGTGGCTCACCCGATCTTCCAAAGCAGATTTCTGCTGATTTGCAACTTCAATTTGTTTCTTGAGAGCCATTACTTCATTTTCAGCCTTTTCCCAGCCTATAATTTTTTCGAGGAAGCACATCAGCAGATGATAAAGGAAGAGTAGCCATGCCTGGTTCCAAAAAGTTTGAAAATGGGAAATTTGACTTTAAATGAGCTCCTATATATGAATGGCATTGTGGTAAGAACTCCTTTAAATTGAAAAGGAACATACATATTTCGTAGATCTTGCAATTAGTACAGGACCCTTAATGTTAAGGGAAGTCTTAAAAGAATAGAGATTCTATCCTAGACATTAGTGTCTAAATATACCTGCAACAGCTTCTTCAGCAACTTTCGCATGCTGCTTTACTAAGTCATCTTTTGCACTAACATTGACATGAGCGGCTGATAACTTCTCTGTCAAACTCTTAATGCTATCATTGACATCTTCATCCCTAGTTACAGTTTTTGATGTCACTTCAGGTGATTGAGCACTGTCAGTATTAGATGCCTTTGAGGGATCCTGTATCAGTGATGAGAAAGTGGGTGAAACCAACAATGCAAACAAGAAAGTTTTGAAGTATATGAGGTAATAGAAAAGCCAACTCATGGAGAATAGCTGAGTAACTCAACAACAATTTTCCACTGAAGTGAAAAATTCAACAGTCCTTGATTTGATACTTGAAAACAGAGGAAGCAACATTTTGAGTTTTCTGCTCATTAGATAAGTCCAATTAGTGATGTGAAGGAGGGTCCTAACAAGATTTCATCTCTCTTCCTCAAAAATACTCTAGGAGAAGGGGTTAGCTGATGTGATGTACCTTCAAATAGGAGCAGTTTAGACACTCCTACTACTGAAATTTGATTGAAACAGCAAATAGATTGAAAACCTCATGGACTTTCAAAGAAAACTGAAACGTTGCGAGAGAGTCAAATGATTCGTTAAGAACAAAGGAAAACTCTCTTGTGAACCAAGGTATGAACAATGGTGTTTGTGACCTTATGTGGAGAATGGTGATGCAGTTAGATACTTATGTAGAACATATCAATAATATAAATGGAGGAGGGCTGTTCAGCCACCTACCTGATCATCAGAAAATCTCTCAGAATGTGAAGTTATTGATCCCGAACTGTCAGTTTCACCAGAACTCCTCTCAGAAGACTTCCTCTTCCACAACCATTTCCTCTTCTCCATCGCAAAATATGGCCGTCAGATGTATTTATCTGCATTTAAATGTATACTTTCGCATCAAATTTCCAAAGATGTGCGTCTGTGTCAGTACATGAGTTGCAGGAAATTTACAGACAGCAAAAACTGGATAAACAAGACACATTCTATTGCAAATTGTGGATAGCAGTATAAAAAGTGCAGGAAAAACCACTTTGAAAAGCAGAAATGAACAGCTTCTGTTACAAATCTCAAACATCAAGCAAAAAGATGACTTGTCTTCTCATTTTAGCATCTTTGATTTGAATCCACCCAATAACCATACAACCCCATCAACGACACCAAAAGATTACGCCTCTAAGGACTCCAATGGCACACACAGAAAATTGACCAAGAATCATGGATGGAGAAGTTAAGAAAGAGGAATTGGTAAGAACAAATAACAATGATATCACCAAAGACCCCGTACTTGAATCACAAAATGGGAACAACCCACCTGACAAGGACAATTTGAATCTTCCCAAAACAAAAACATGAACCAGTATCAATAAAACAGTAA